GGCCCCCTACTCAAAATTCCCCAAATGGCTGCTTAGCTTCACCCCTTCCCAGCAGCCCCCGGGCTCAGGACAGCAGGGCCCTTAGTGCCCAGCCTGGAAGGCAGCGCCCAGGGCCAGGGCAACACAGGGCTGAACCGTACCAGGCACTTCTGACGTGACACCCAAAGTTGCCTGCCCCTCGGGCCTCCTGAGCTAAAAGTGCTGTCTGCCTCCTCCCGGAAGCTGGGGCCTCTGCCCCAATCCTGAACCAGCCATCCTTGTCTTCAGGACTCGGCTTGGGCCTCAAGGCCTCCCTGAGACTGGGATGGCCCCCCAATCCATGGGCTCCAGGTAGGTTTTGCATTGGGGGAGGGTGGGGAGGCGGGGTCATTGTTGCTTGGTCCTCTCCCCATGCGGGGTCTCCCTCTGGGGTCTGCTCGCTGACCTGCTGGGCGCAGCCTGCTCCACAGCCTCCCCTCTGGGATCTCCCAACCTGCCTGCCCTCGGTTTCGTCCAGCGGCCTTGGATGTGAGATCCCAGGGCCACGAGCAGTGCGCGCTTCAGAGCTGGAACTCTGGGGCCAGGGTGGGACTTCTAGCCTGCTCCATACTCAGCTGTGTGTCCTTGAGCAAGTTGCTCCGCCTCTCTCTGCAGCTGAAAGGGGTAATAAGTGTGTCTGTTTTCAGGTGAAATGGATGACCCAGGCCTGGCCCCCCCCCCGAGTGTTGGTTGCAAATCCTTTCATCTTCCCCTGACCTCTAAGGCACTGACCACTGGGTTTTGGCTTCCTCTTTGAGGGGCTGTGGAAGCTGTGGCCAAGGTGGGTGGGGTGGAGGGGGGAGCTGCCATGCGCCTCTCCCGCGCAGCACTTGCCTGGGAGGTCAGGTGGTGACTGCCCGCGGACCTGGATTTGTTCTAGGAAGGGCGAATTTCAAGTCACCATCCCACGTGGTGACAAGCGTGGACTCCCGCCTTCCCTCCCACTTGGGGGTGGTGAGGGGTGATGAGTGTAGCTGTGGGCCCCCCATCTCTCTCCTTGCCCCAACCCCCACTGCCACTCTGCACTCTGGCCTCCTGCCAGCTCCCCACAGGACAGGTGTCAGCAGCCCCAGAATGAATAGTGGGCAGGCTCTGGGATGGGGGGCCAGGAGCATCGATGGGGTGTGGGGCTCTCGCATCTGCACAGATGCTGACAAGCCAGGGCAGCCCAGCTGGGAGCAGCCAGGGTGCACAGGGCCTCACCACTGGAGAAATAGAGGCGCCTAAGTGTCACACCCAAGGGAGATGGGCAGCTAGCATGCTAGCATGTTTAAGGGACCTGGGGAAGGGGAGGGACCCTGGAGGGCCGGTGGGGGGGTGGCGGTGTTGGGCCATTCCTCAGGTCCTCTGTGAGCCCACAGCCTTCTAAGTGTGAGAGCAGTGTGTGCTGCTGTCCAGAGCTAAGGCCCCCAGGACTGGCCCCTCTCCAGCCCTCTTGGCTCCCTGCACCCCCGTGCTCCATACAGAACTGGGTGAATGACTGTCAGGTCCGGTCAGTAGCTTGAAGGAAGAAAGTCCTTGGAGGGAGGAATGGGCCGGGGCTCCAATAAAGCTGGGTTCAAATTTCTGCTCACTACCTATTGCTGTGTGGCCTTGGGCCAGCCACCCAGCTTCTCTGAGCTTCAGTCTCTTTGTGAACCGGGAAGGCCAGTGTCCCCTCCTGCCACCTGCCACCACAGGCACCCAGGCTGGCACCTGCATGAAGGCTCAGCAAGCTGGGGGAAACTCGGAAAGGCAAGGGAAACTTCTGGAGTTTTGAGCACCCTAAGTGTGTACCTGCGGCCATAATCCTTTGAGGACCATATCTCTCTGTACCTACAGGTCCTGGGCTGCTCTCAGGAGGCCCCCAGAGGACCAGACACAGGCACAGACAGCTGCCAGCTAGCCCAGCCAGCCCTGGGGGCTTCCTCCCGGCCTGTGCCCCTCAATCTAATCATACTTTGCAGCACAGGCTATACTCCCAGCCTCACCTTGGCCCCAAAGCACACCCCAGGGCACACTCCAGGGCATACCCCAGGCAGGGAGCTCCCAGGGACTCTGGGAGAAAAGCTCCGCAGGGGAGTGGTCCCAAGGTGGGGGGGGGCACCCCCAGTGGCCTGCTCCCCTGGGAAGAACTGGCACCTCCTGTTTTCCCAGCCCAGAGGCCTGTGGCTCCCACATTACCACATGAATGGGGCACAAGCCCCGGCCACTCCAGCAGACAATTTGGCTAGCAAATTGACATAATTATAGAGACAGAGGGAAGAAAGCAGCCCCCACCCCGGCCCCCCAGCGGGCGCCCCTGTGGAGCTTCTCCTGGGCTTTGTGGGCTGGGCACTCTGGCTGATTAGAAACCTCGTGGCCTTTTCAAGAACCCTAAGTGATTGGCCCCCTTAATCTGATTACAGTCTGCAGAGCCCTCCAGTCCCGCTGAAGGGCCATCTTCAAGCACCGCTTGATGGTGCACTCTGTGCAGCGGGCACATGCATGCTGCACCCCCAGGCGGCCAGGGTGCCCCACCTGCCCCTGCCATGGCTCAGCTGCTCAGTGTGGGCCCCCCCCACCCCGCCCCAAATCACCTCAGCCTCTACCCCAGGACCATTCCCCTGGGGGGGGGAGGGGCCAACTTCAGGAGGTTGTCGCTGCCCCTATATTTAGGGGTCACCTATATTTAGGGTGTCCCACCCAGGTGCACCACCCAGGCCAGGGGCACCCCATGGTGCTACCATCCTGGTAGCCCCTCAACCCAGCACCCAGGACCAGCTCCACCAAGGGGCCACCTCACAGTAGCTCCATCTCCGGGCGCGCTGTGGGCTCTGGAGCATGAGGCCAGTAGGTGGCTTGGGCCCAGCTCGGCCCCCGCCCCGGGACTCAGCTGGCAAGTGGCTTTCAGTCTGCCCATGGCCTGCCAGGCCACTGTGAATGGGTGAGTCCCCAGGGGTGCAGTCCCTTTTCCTGATTCTCAGGGGCTCAGGCTGGCCCCCACCCCAACCTGAGCCCTCTGGGCTGGGGAGCAAAGCTGAACCCAGGCAGAAGGGGACAGGAGCTGTGTGGGCATGTGTGGGGCGGGGGACAGCAGGATGACACAGCCCCCCACACTCCCCCTCACTGGCCCAAAAGCCCCGAGAAGGGGGTGCTCTGCTTTAGAACCCTGCTCTGCTCTCAGTGGTCCTGAGGACCTTCCCCTGCCCCCACCGGCCCCCACCCTGGTTGGTCAGGAGTCAGAGGTGCAGACACTGGAGCCCCCTGTGCCTTTCCTAAAGCGGGGTCTGGTGGGGGGGGTTGCTGGCCTTAGGCTCCCCCCCAGAGATGGGCATGGCCCAGGCACACTTGGGAGACGCTGGGAGGGCATGATCGCGGGTCCCCCTCAGCGTGGCACGTGGGCTGCTCCATCATCCGCATCAGGGATGGGAGGTGGGGGGGCGGGGGAGACAGGGCCAGACAGGAGAGGGTGGTCCCTGTGTGTGTCCCCCGTGGGGCTCTGCCAGGATAAGCCCCCCAGAAACAAACACTTTAACCGCTCATCTCTGATCGCTTGGCCCAGTTTGGATCACAGGGTCCAGACCCGAGTCTCCCCCTGGCATGGGCTCCCATGTAGCATCGGCATTGCCCTGAGGCCGCTGCCCAGAGCAGCCCATGGTGCCCTGAGGGGGGGGGCCCAGCTCAGGCGATGGGGGAAAGGACCGCAGCTGAGCCCTGAAACGCTGGTCCTTGTTGGCTGATATTGTCCAGAGGACTCCCTGGGTCCTCCACTCACTGCCTCCTCCCCCGCGCCTGCTCCCCCCACGCCTCCTGCCCCTGTGCCCCCTCCCCCGGGCCTCCTCACCAGGCACCTCGCCCCCCTAGACCCTCCCAGGCCCTCTGTGGGCGTGCCTGGCGGGGCTGGGCCAGCTCCCCTGGGGGAGGGAGGCCGGGCTCAGATCAGCTGAAATCAAAGCTGCCGCTCCCCTCCCCGGCACGCCGCACCCCTGCCGAGCCCCGCGCACCTCCTCCTTTGTCAAAATGTTTTTCAATCCGGTGAAGCAAACTGTCCAATTAGAGCCGGGGCCTCCGGCTTCCATCTTTGCCGACGTTTAATTAACATGCTCCTCTTGGCAGCTGCTGACAAGTTCCAGAAACAGGTTGTAAAGGGTTTTTGTCTTTACCCAGCATGGAAAATGAGGGGTGTTACGTGGTGGGGACGTGAATAGGTTGCATTTCAGCTCCCTCCCCCTCCCCGCCTCCCCTCCTCCCCGCTCCTCTGCAAGGGGAATGAAGGCCTGAGTGTGTGTGAATTGTGAGGGGGCGGGAGGGCGGGTTTGGAAGCAGGAGAGAGTGTCTCCCCCCTGCCCTCACCCCTTCTTCCCTGGAGCCTGCTCCACAAAGCCCTGCCCTCTGCCTCTCCTCCTGCAGGCGCTCCTGTGGGCCTGCCTCTTTTAGCCATACTAAGCTTTGCCTTGTGGCTTCTCATTCCTTGGGTCTCTGCCTAGGCTGGCCCTCACTAGCCTTCTGGGAAACTCCTATTCAGCCTGCAAAACCCCGCTCAGGTGACCCACTCTGGGATGCCACCCGGGTATTGAATGTCTGCCCTGAAAATGGAGCAGAGTTGCAGGGAAGGCATAGGCGGTACAATGGGTGAGTTGATATGAAGGAAGGAGGGGTTTTGGGGAAATCCCTGACCCCCAAAACAGCCCTGCCAGGGAGCCCCAGGCTGGGACACTCCCAATTCTTCCTTTTCAGACTGGGGTGACTTTCCTTGCAGTGTGGGTGGCAGCTGGGGTGGGAAAGAGAATGGGGCAGGAGGTCAGGTCTCTCGGGCCCTTCTCTCCCTCCAGTTGGCCCTACCGGGCCTGCACACCTATTCTACAAAGAACACCAAGAAGGTTTATTCACGGAGGCTGCTGTGTACATGGTGTAGACAGATCTGGGGTCCCAGGGAGCATGGGAGGTGCCAGCTGAGGGGCAGGCAGGTCTCCTAGGAGGTCTCAGGGCCACCGCCAGCCCCAGCCCCCTCCTGTCTGCTGTCCTCACCGTGTGGCCACCAAGGCACAGCAGCAGCACCTGGAGGGGACACCCAGTTGTCTCCAGAGGAGGGGGACAGAAGGGAAGGAGGCTGGGGTGCCGTGGCGCCTGGGCCAGCAGGGGGTGCTGTTTTCCCAGCATGCTGAGCACCTGTGTCCACTGGGACAGTCTGCGGAACCTGCAGGGGGGAGAGCAAAAGCCATGGCACTGGCAGGCCTCACCACCTTCTCTGGGTGGCACTGGATGCTTCTAGCCACAGGCCGCTTTCTCTTTCCTTAAACTCCCACACCCTCATCTGCCACATCACTCTACCTTTTACTCCAGACCTGGCTCTTTTCACAGCCTGGCCTCCTGGGAGGGCAAATGGTGACAGTGAGAGCAACAAGAGTGACCCGGTCAGCCCCAGCCCCTCCATGTGCCAGCCGTGGCCTCCAAGAGCCCCGACCCCTGTGGGTCCTGATTTCCCCACAATTGCTCCTGATTCACAGGCTCTCTGCAGGGCTGAGTGCAAAGGGCAGGAGGAAGGGTGTGGTGCATTCCACAAAGCGGGCCAGGGAAAGTTAGTTGATGGCAAGAGGGAAGGGTGAAGGAAGGCTGATTTAAATAGTGCCGAAGCTGTCACCCCCTTGTCTATAAATGAGGGGGTTTCCCAGCCAGCAGCAAAGCCAGGGCGCCAGGTCCCTTCCCAAAGTCCTGTGCCTGTCCCATGGGGAAAGCGAGGGGCCTCTCCCGCCAGGTCCAACGCGCACTGCTCCAGGCAGGAGAGTGGAAGTTCCCTCACTTCTCGATGCATTTTATTTTTATTTCCCTTCAGCTGGCGGCATCTGATTCCCAGAGCAGGACAGTGTCTGGCGCCCCCACCCCACTGAGAAATCAAGCCCAGGCTCACCTGCTCTCACCTGCTGCGGGAGCTTAAGGTTCTGAGGGCTTGAGGGTGGGGTCCTCAGGGTGGAAGGCAGTGCTCTCAGGCATCTGCAAAGAGAGGAAGCAGCTCCCAGAGCCCGCAGGTGCAAGGGGGGGCGGGGGGGCCAGAAGCTCCACAGGGCAGGAGCAGCCAGTGGTGTGCGGCGGGCGCCACCTCGTGGTCACTACACACGTCGCCGTGGCGGAGCGGGGCCACCCGGAGAGCGGGACTAGGTCAAGCCAGCCACTGTCCAGGGTGCTGGGCGCAGGGTGCTCGCGCCCCTGGCGGTCAGGAGCAATGGCAGGCACTCGAGTGGAATGCGCAGTGCCCAGAAGAGTTGTACGTGCACTTGAGAGGCTAATAACTTGGCCCAGGGGTGTGTGGATAAAGGAGCAGGATGCAGGCCCAGGCTATTTCTCAGTGTCTGCCCTGCAGGTCTGTGTCTGGGGAGAGGTGATGCGGGTGCCCTGTGCCAGGGACAAGTGCCCAGAACTCACCTCCCAATAGATGGCATCCTCAAAGCAGTTCTCATCTGCCGCTTGTCCCCACACTGGCAGCTTCAAAATGAGCCCTGAAGAAGTTGGAGGTCCTGAGAAGACCGCTGACTCCCTCCCCTGCCCTCCCTCAACTGGGACAATGCCCCAGTCCCACAGCCAAGGGCAGAGACCAAGGCTTCCTGGGCGCTCTGGGCTGACACGTGGACATGCGTGAGGAGCCCCCACCCACGGTGCCCTGCAGAGGCCCCACTTCCAGGGTCCAACCCGCTCACCCACAAGGATGCCGCCCACCAGGGCCATGGCCAGTGACACAAAGAGGCCGGCAGCCTGGAATTTGCCTTGCAGGCTCGCGTTCCAGTTCGCCTTGGCACTGTCGAAGTCAAAGGCATGGGCCAGCCTGGGTGGAGGTAAAGGGCAGATGAAGGCCAGACCGGTAGAGGCCACCCCCAAACGTGAGTGTGCAGCAAAGACGCCCAAACCTGCGCCCCACCTCCCCATCTGCAAAGAGGGGGATGGACCAAGTGGGGAGAGAAACAGTGGTCCAGATGGGGCCGGGGGTGGAGAGGGCAGCGGAGAGGAGGAGCAGCGATGGAGGAGGCTCCAGCCTCGCCACACCTACCCCTCCTCTCCGTACACCGCGCTGCTGGCACAGGCAGCCGTCACGGCCCCCACGATGGCGCCCACGATGCCGGGCATGCCGTGCAGGTTGTGGATGCCACAGGTGTCCTGGATCCGCAGCCGCGACTCCAGGAATGGCTGGGGACAGAGACGGGGCCCAGTGCTGCAGGCTGCCCACACAGCCACACCCGGCCCCCCACCGGCCCCCCCATCAGAGAGAGCCCCCAGCTTTGCCAGCCCCTAGGCACTCGCCGCAGCCCCTTACCGTCAGGTACACGAAGCCCAGTGTGGAGATGATGCCGCAGATAAAGCCAACGATGAGGGCACCGTAGGGCATGAGCATCATCTCGGCAGCGGTGCCCACGGCCACCCCGCCCGCCAGCGTGGCGTTCTGGATGTGCACCTGGCCAGGTGGACGGGCCGGGTCACGTCTCTCCTCTGGCAGGTTGGGCGGACCTGCTGTGCGCCACCCAGCCTGGGGGCCAGGGAGGGCTCGGAGGGTGGCCCCAACAGCCAGGGGCCGGGGCTTGGGGCAGCCGCCCCTGCTCTCTGGACACGGTGCCCACAGGCAGCCTGGGTGTGCCTGGGGCACGGGGGTCTAGACGGGATGCATGGGTGCTTGTCCAAGTCCCCTTGACATGTGCAAGCCACAGGCATGTGCACCCATGTCAGGCACCTGTGGGCCCTGCGCACACATGTGGGCACACACACACGCACCTGCTGGCTCTCCTGGGGCACCCACCTGCACCAGGCACCATGTGGCTGGCGCACAGAGAAGTTCACTCTGCCTTCACAAGCCCAGGAGGTGAGTACAGTTTTCTTTTGACATTGAGGAAATTGGGGTGCAGGGGGGTTAAATGACCTGTGTGTGCCCGCACAGCAAGCAAGAGGCGTCTGACCCAGGCCCGTGCGGAGCCAGAGCCCCTGACCTTGACCCTATTCCTGCCCCTCCCTGTGGGTGGGTCTTGGGCTCCCACAGGCATCTGATTCTCTCCTCCCCTGTCCAACCCCCCCCCCCCACCTGCGTGCGGTGACGGTCCAGTGCATCAGGGGCTCCTGGCAGAGTCTCGGCACAGAGGCCAGGAACAAGAGTCCGACTCTTCCTATAGAGAAGCCACAACACCGTGGACTTGGCCCTTCCACTGGTGACAGGACGGGCATGATCACAATGGCCTGATGTCAAGGACATGGGCAATGCCAGAGCCCCACCCCCATCCTGGTGGAGGGACAAGGATCCCCCCAGAAGTGTGCAGGGTGGGCAGGGCAGGTGCTTTGGAGAGGCCGAAGGTCTGAGGATGGACCCTGGCAGGGGGAGGTGCTCCTGCAGCCTGTGGGCAGGTCTGGCCGGGAGCCCCAGGGCAGCTGTCAGAGCCCCGGGCTGCAGGCTCGCGAGAGGAGGAGCCAGGCCACCAGAGCACGGCCCTGACCGAGCCGCCCAGAGGGCCCCGGGGCCCGCCCTGCCCTGCCATGGCCTCAGGAGGTCATTTCTCCAGAGCCCGTTTCTCCTTCTGTGAGATGCCGCCCAGCAGAGGGGCCAGTGGGGTATGGTGACCAGGGCCCAGCGGGCACGGGGCATCACAGTCACCTGCCCGCCCCATGGCTCACCATGTCCAGCTTGCCCTTCTTGTGCAGAGCGCTGGACAGCGCCACTGTGGTCAGCACGCAGGCAGCCAGGGAGCAGTAGGTGTTGATGGCAGCTCGGTGTTGGGCATCCCCGTGGTTAGACACGGCTGAGTTGAAGCTGGGCCAGTACATCCACAGGAAGAGGGTGCCTGGGCCAGACAGGAATAGGGATGGGGGCCCCACAGGAGAGAGTTAGAGGGGCCCAAAGAGGCTGGGCCAGACACCCCATCCACGGTTCTGAGGCGGCAGAGGACCTACAGGCTCGCCACTCTGCTCCTGCCTTGCCTGCCTGACCACCCAGCCTCCCACTCTGCCCAAGGTATCCAGCCTGGCCCCTGAGCCGGGGAAATGCCAGAGGCAGGGAGATGGCCGGCCCTTCCACTGCACCCAGGAGCTCTGGGGAGACAGGGCTGGGCTTTAAGAGACCAGAGGACGTACGTGTCCTCTGGCATGAAGGGACCAGGCCCTCGGCCCTGATGGGGAGGCCATGCCGGTGACCGCCATGCCCTGGGCATCCGAGGGGAACACAGATGGGTGACCAACTGTTTCCATCCCCGCAGGGAGAAGGGACAAGCAGCTGGGACCCCAGAAATGCCCACAGACAACCTCTCTCTCCTCTCCCCAGGGGAGGAGCTGGCGGCTGCCCCCTAGACCGCGTGGGGATCATGACAGCGGAGGCCTTGTAGCAGCCCTCGCCCACTCTGATGCGCACGGTCACCTTCGGGGCGCCCTCGGTCACCTCAGCAGCGCTCACCGATCATGGCAAAGAGGTCCGAGTGGTACACGGCACCCTGCCTCTGTCTGCTCTGGTGGAGGTTGGGCCGCTGGAGGATCCACGTCACCGTGAGCCCGAAGTAGGCACCGAACGTGTGGATGGTCATGGAGCCCCCTGCATCCTTCACCTGGTGCGCAGGCAGGGGCCAGGTCAGCTCTGACAGCCCCACCCCCATCCTCCTCAGGGGACTCCCTTCCCCCCAACACACACGTGCACACATGCACACAGGCACACACACGCACACGCACACGTGCATGCACTCAGGTCCAGCTGCCTCTGGTTCCGTGAGCGTGGGGGGAGCCCAGAGTCCAGTCAGTGGGAGGGAAGCTCATCACTGTCCCCCTCCAGCTCCCTCGCGAAGCTGGAGCTCTAGATGCACTCCACTCCCCTGCATTGGCGCCCAGAGCAACGCCTCATGTGAGCATGACTCCAAACCCCACTCACTTGACAAGTATTGTTGAGACTGCCTCAGCCCCTGGGCTCATGCTGGATGGGGCTGGCCCAGCAGGGAGGCCTCCCCACCCACCCCAGCCCTGCTCACCGCCAGCAGGCTGAGGAGAATGAACTCGTTCACTGCGAACAGGGTCACTTGGAAGAGGGTCATGAGGAGCAGCTGCACAGGGCTGACTTTGCCCAGGACCGCCCCAAAGGCCACACAGACGGAGCCCACACAGAAGTCAGCATTGATGAGGCTGTGGGAAGAGGATCGGGGAGGGGCTGCAGCCACCGAGAGCAGCGCCCCCAGACTGGGGTTGGTCAGCAGAGGGTCTCCACGTGTCTCAGCTGTGTCCACCTCTTAGAGCTACATCAGGAAAACAGCCACACGTGGCTGTCGGGCACAGCAGGGGCACAGGTCAGATGCCACCCCCTCCTGCGGCCCCCCCCAGTCCCTCCCCTCGCAGGCAGGCTGGCTCCTGCTGTTGAACATGCCCCATATCTGGGGCCCTGCCCTGTCTTCCATCTTAACTCCTGCCCTCCGGAGCCTCCTTCCTCTTCCTCCTCTTTCAGGAAGCCCTCCCTGATTCCTCCAACTGTGGCTGGAGGCCACGGCTTGGGAGGCCCCAGGGGCTCAGGCAGGGCCTGCAGAGGGGCATAAACTAGAGGGACAGGTGGGACCTGGTACACTCTTCAGCAGGGGCAGGACAGAAGTCAGGAGGAGGGCACACTGGGTCAGGTCAGGAAGGACACGCTCATCTCTGCCCTGAGCTGAGAATCCACTTCAGCCCCAGTTGCTGAAAATCAAGTTTCCAAAAGTCTATTTGCCAAAACCCATGTTTTCAGGGGACCAGGTTCATCAAACACTTATTCACTCAAAATTGCAGCGACTCCCTGGGCAGGTGTCTCAAGTCCTGAGCTTTCACTGTTCATGTGGTCAGAGCTGTTTTGCCCCAGTGGCCCATTAAACACGTCCCAGCTGCTGTCACCCCCGGGTCTGTGGCTTTGGGGCGGGACTTTCTTGTGTGCTTGGCTCTGCAGGGCACGGGTGTGTCCAGGGCCTCAGGCCAGAAAGCCTGGCTCACCCATTTCCGGTTGGGTCACTGTCTTTCCTGGTCATGCTAATCATGACAACTTTCTCACATCAAAAAAGTGCTTTTCTCTAGCCTAGTTGCCATGTCTACAGTCCTGAGACTGTCTAAACTGGATTTAAAGTTTAGAATGGCCAACAACCAAAACTTGACAAAAACTGGAAGAAATGTCTCAAAGACTCCTCCCAGCTTCCTGCGCGGCCTAGAGCAGCCCAGGGATCCGCTCGGCCTGCTGGGTGCTGGGCCAGTGGGCTCTGGGCAGTGATGTTAGGGCCTGGCGGGGTCTTGGGGGGGCGGGGGGAGAGGCAGAGGGAGGCCCTGAGGTAGCTGACAGGAAGGGGCTGTAGCATTCATCCCACCAAAAGGCTGTCACCATGGAAAGGGAAGAGATGGGGGATAGGCTGCCGGTATGTGGGGGTCGAGGCAGGGTGGGGCTCAGCCCTAAGCCTCAGGGCTCCCCCTTCCCAGGCCTGTTCCTGGGGGACAAGCAAGGCAGGGGGAAGCACTTGCACATGACTGGACTCCCCCCTTCAAGGGTTCCACCACCAGTGACCTTCTGAGTGTGGGTTAGGCTGCCCGCTCCCCCCATGACTTTTGCCCTCCTCAGGGCCTCCCTCTGCCCTCACCCAAGAGCCCGGCCCCTCGCCCTCCCTGCCCAGCCTCGCTCACTTCTCCACGCTCACGAAAATGTAGCCCTGTCGATAGGAGTGGAACCAGCCCTGCATGAGCAGCGCCCACTGGATGCCGAAGGCTGCCAGCAGGAAGTTGAAGCCCACCGCGCCGTAGCCGTAGCGTTGCAGGAAGGTCATGAGGAAGCCGAAGCCCACGAAGATCATCACGTGCACATCCTGGAAGCCTGCGGGGACAGCGCAGCCCTGGATTGCAGGAGCCCTGGGTCTGGGCCAGAGGGGCGGCGCTCTGTCTTCCATGGCCCGGCCAGCGCAGCAGCCTCCCAAGCCCAGCCCCGTCTGGATCCCACCATGATGGATTAAGACTGTCCAGCCGGAGAACAGCCACTACCCCCATCTTGTCATAAGTGCCTCTTCAGGGGCAGGGCTGGGGGACCTGAGGTGAGTGTCCACTTTAGACCACCGTGTGCCCTCCCCCCAAGCCCGGCCCCTTGGTAGCTCCCCTTCTCCACCTTACCCGGGAGTGGCTGTGGGCTTTTGAAATCACCAGGCTGTGGATTACACCCAGGGTCTAGGCCTAGACCCTAGATGGTGGGGTCTCACCTGGCCAGAGGCGGAGGGACACAGCCACCTCCACCCACTCCCAGCAGGGACACTTTCCAGTGTCCCTGAGACAGATTCCCACTCCGGTTGCTCCATCTGCTGGTAGATGGTTCTGGAAGGTCACTTAACACAGTAGGGATACTTCGCCTTGCTCTGCAGCGCTTACTCCCAAGTGCAGCAGAGTGGAAATGCAGTGTCCCTCCCATAACAGAAGCTCGCCAGGGGCAAGGGCATCATTTGGAGTTACTTTATTATGATTATTGTTATGTAGTCAAATTTTGAGTTCTGCCCTAAGCCTGGCCCCTGTCAGAGCCACCAGTTCAATGATGCACTGGGGTGGGTGGGGGGTGTCTCAGGGGTCCTCCCAGTGCCAAAACTGCGTGGCTCCAGGTTCTCTGAAATGGCAGGTTGAAGGACCCGGTGGAGCAGAGAGTGGGGCTCAAGTGTCAGCTTCTAAAAGGAAGTGCAGGTGTCAAAGGTCACAGGGAGGGGCTCCCACAGGCCAAATCAGAACACTTTGACCACCACAGTGATTATGGGCTCCAACGAATTAGACTATTAAAAATAGGAATATGCGAGTTTATACTGATCATAAGCAGACGGATAAATAAACCAGACGCAGGGTGGGAACTTGCTGAAACAGAACGCCAGGCTTGGCCATGGACGAGGCTTGAGAGCTGAGGCTGGAAGATCCTCGGCTCTGTAACGGGGGGGTCCCCAGGAAAAGAGGAGGTTCCAGGCTCCCTGTCCTGACCCAAAGGAGGGTAGAGCTGAGCAGGGAGGAGAAGGAGCTGCAGAGGAGGCTGAGGAAGGAAGGAAGCGGGATGGAGCCAGGAGACCTGGAGGGGGAACCTGGAGCCGAGAGACATGTGAAGAAACTGCACTTGCCTTTTGGTCGGGGACTGGGTGACACAGATGTGGGTGAGACGCGTGGGGAGGTGACAATGGCAGTTTGTGTCTTGATTTTGCTCTTTTCCTCCCAGACTTGTCTGACTATTTCTGACCCTTTTCTGTGGGTCCCCACTGGAGGTGATTTAGTCTGTAGCAGCTTTCAGGCCTTGCTCTGGGCCAGTCCCGTTGGGTGGACTTTTACCCCCGAGGGGACGGGTAACTTTGGGTGCTTGATTTGGAAACTAGATTCTTTGCCTTTCCTGTATTGCTCACTAATCGTATTAAAGTTTCTTCCATTAAAGGTCTTATATGTTTTGTCTTGATGCGGTGGATGGCAGAACCTATTTATAGAGGGCAGGTTTGGGGGTCCCGGAGTGCCCCTCTCCCTGCCCTGTAACAGTTCCACAGCCAAGGCTCCACTGGCGTGTGCTAAATCCAGGGAGAAATTGTGGTGCCGGACAAGACATGTGCACTGTTGAAGAGACTCCCCACAGACTACTTATGAGTTTCATGGGGTCGGTGGGGGGGACACCTCGTCATACGGTAGAGAAATCAGGCCAGATCTTGACTGGGTCATCCAAATTAAGACAGTGAGGGACAGATGGACGTTGTGAGCCTCCACCGTGGTGAGGCCCCTGCAAAGGACCTCTGACCGGCCGGGCCTGGCCAGAACGCCCGGCTCCCGTCTACACAGAAGGAGCCAAGCGGCCGCCCAACGACTGCTAGCAGGAAGGGGTGAGGCTGTTTTCTGAGAAACACCAGCGTCATGAAAGACAAAGGCTGTGCGCAGGCCCCAGGTTAAAGAGGCTAAAGAGACACGTGGGCTGAATTTGATCCCTAGACTGGACCCCGGATTGGCGGGGGGAGGGGGGAGAGCTCTAAAGGTTGCCATGAGGTCAGCTGGCAGATTCAGAGAGGAACAGTTCACTAAGGTGTGCGTGGGAGAGTCACGGAGTGGGTTGCCGCGGTTATGGGAGATTGTGTCTCCGCTCTGAGGAAACATATTGGGGTCGTCAAGGCTACCAGGCCACTGGGCATGTGACTCACCCTCAGATGGTGTGTGTAGGTGTTTGTGTCTTGTGCAGAGGCTGGGGGGGAGAGAACAAATAGCTGGATCTGAGCCCAAAAGTCAGTAATACTTTTATGAGATGTTAAACTTTTAACTGATAATAAGTAGGTCGAGAAATAAACCAGGCAAGTTCGGGGCTTGCCAGACCTGGCCCTACCTGCCTACCTCCTCGCCCCTGCTTTCCGGTCCTGCCCCCTCCTGGGCTCCCACTGTACTGGCCCCCCGAGGCCCGCAGTACCCTTCCAGGGCCTTTGCCCCTGCTTCTCCTCCACACAGGCTGCTGTCCCGGAGAACGGGACAGATCTGCAGATCTCAGCAAACTGTCACCTCTTCCCAGAGGCCCTCCTGACCAGCCAGGTAATGTCGGGCCCTCCCGCCGGCGCCCCCATTTTCTTCCGTTCCTAGCTCTTGCCACAGACTGCAGTTACGTTTGGGTGTCTGGCCCCCAGAGCACACAGCTCCACACAGGCAAGGCCACGTGCTCACTCCTCTATGCCCCAGCACCTGCCACGGTGTCCAGGGCACTCAGAGAGCGAGGGAGTGAATGAATAATGATCCTTGTCTCAGTGGCCAAGCAGCAGCGAGGGCATCCCAGTGGGATTTCATGGTCAGGTGAGGCCTCAGCCTCTCCCTCCCAAGTCCAACCCTCCTGCCTGCAGGGTGGACAGGGCTTGGTGCCCACAAGGTGGGCAGGGCTTGGTGCCCACAACAGCCTGACCATGGTGGGGGTAGCAGTGTTTCTGTTCCTGCTGCCCTGATTTTGCCCTCACTGGTTTCCCCTGCTGTCAGGGGTCCAGGCACCCCCTGGCTAGCATCCATCTGAAGGCTTGGTGGGGGCTGGACATGCTGATGCCTCCGCTGGCTGCACTGATCTCAGCTCTGTGGGGAGGAGACCTGTGCAAGTTCCTGCAGACAGTGGCTCAACCCGGGTTCACAGGGCACACAGCTGATTTCATAGATTATCTAGTTTCATGGTTTGTCACGTTTCCAAGTGTCGCGGGGAGACTGAGCTCACGCTCGGGAAGCGCCACCCCTGGCTCGGTAGTTATTCTGGGGACTAAGTGACAGGAGCAGAGGTGTGAAAGAGAGGGAGGTGACATTCAGACAGTTCCAGAAGCAGGCGGGGGCAGGGCTGGTTATAAGTGCAGGGCGAGTGCTGGTGGACGGAGATGCTGGTGCTGCAGGGGGCCTGGTGGGGGCAGATGGGGCTGCCGGAGGGGCGCAGCCGCTGGGCAGGGGGAGCGGCTGAGACTTAGCAGGCCTGACATGGGCTGAGAGTGGGCAGGTGGGACAAGGGGCCAGGAGGAGGCCTGGGCTGCCTTGAAGTGAGCCTCCAGCCAGAGGGCTCCAGGCCCGGGGAGGTGAAGGAACCCCTGGGAAAGGCAGCATCACAGAAGGGGAACTGCTGTCCTTCTCTGTGGGGGCCCTGGCTCTCTTTGACGCTCTCTGGGTGGGTGTCTCTTTCTCCCCCACCCCTGTCCATTCTTTTGCCCCTCCCCCTTGTCTCCCCAACTGTGCCAATTTGCTCATTTATGTTCCATGTAGTTCGGGGGGCCCGAACTTGCTCCTGAAAATGCTTTTGAAAGGAGTGGTCTGAATGTCGGAGCATCTTCAGCAAGGGCCTAGCTGACCCCTCTGAGTGAAGGATTTACACCTGTAAAATGGGGGGTTTAACCGCCCCGGGGGAGTGCTCATCCCAGGATTTGTGGTGCACATTTAAGGAGATAATGCAGGCCTGGCTCTGAGCAGTTTCTCTGTTTCTTGAGCTACCAGTTCTCCACTTCTCTGCCACCGCTGACCAGGAGCTTTGCCCCGGGTTGGCGGCTTGAGGAGGGTCAGCAGAAGTTGGGGAGACACCCGGCCAGCGCAGGTGGCTGGAGCAGCCCAGCAGGGCCTCCACCTGCGGCCCGGCCTGAGCGCCGCCAACAGAGGGCAGCAGCACGCGGCGGAGCTCTCCCCTTGCACTCTCCCCACTCGCTGTCTCCTGCCCCCCAGACTGGGTCCCCAACTCTGCTGGCTGAGTCGGTGTAGGGTAAAGAAAATGTCAGGCTTTTCTGCCCTTCCGCCATCAGGATAGATGATGGATCCTTGTCCTGAATGCATGCCTGATGGCGGCACCTGGAGCAGGGTGTGGGCCTAGGGAGATGGGATTCACCTGGGCTGAGACTGTGCTTTTAAGGGCGGCGTCACGGGGACGCCAGCAGCAGCAGCAGCAGCAGCAGCAGCAGAAGCAGAAGAAGAAGTAGAAGCCGAAGCAGAAGCTGAAACAGAAGCCGAAAGAGAAGCCGAGAAGCAGCAGAACGAACGCTAGAGAGCCCAGATAGAGTGAAGACTTGCTGGGGGCTGGGAGGCCTGCCAGCCTCCCAGCCCCCCAGCCAGCACCCCTGCCTGCTATATGCCTGGTGAACCCCAATAAAGGACCTGCAAAACTACTGAGGACTCTGACTCCTCCTTTACCCGGTCTGCATGGGATCAGAAAACCTGCACTGTGCCCAGTCCAGCCTTTACAGTCAGCTACATCTCTGAAATGTGGGGACACAGTTTCCCACGCTGATGGGCCACGGCAGTGCCCTTGGTTCGCCACGTCAGCGCCGCGCAGTGCCCTGCCGGGGCCTGGGCATCGCCCCTGCATTCTCTGTGGGACAGCCCACACTAATCTGTCTTCTTTGGCGCCCACCGGCCAGTCCCCCAGACCCCCAAGGCTCCAAGGGCCCACCTCCCACACTGCAGCATCTCCTGGGGAGACAAGTGGGGGGAGGGGTCGGAGTGTTACGGTGGGGGTGAGGGAGGAGCAGGGGGGCTGGGTAAATCTCTAACTTCCATTTCCTGCACCATAAAAGGGAAACTCCTCCATGCCAAGCCTGGCAGAGCAAAAGGGACGTCGCAACTGAGCGGAGCACAGCTTTGGGCGCCGGAACAGTTCACCCCAGGGTTCCGGGAGAATTGCTCGCGCGCCCCACACCAGCAGGTGCGTCTGCTCAGCTCCCGCCCGGGGATGCGCCCGCCAGCACCTGCCAGCTCCCACCTTCCCAGCGACCCCGCGCATCCGAGGACCCTCCCCTCACAGGTGAGCTGGAGGCGGAGCCCCCCGAGGGATGGAGCCAGGGCGTTCATTTTGAAGCCGACCGCCGGGCGACACTGCCCTCTGCTGGGCGAAAGCCCGCCCTGCGCTAGCTGGAGCGGAGTCCCAGGTTCAGGTCCCCAGCGCTGGGGCTGCGGCCGCCGGCTCTTGAAACAGTCCCGTGTTTGAAGCTCTGGCATCCTCTGCCCTGGGTCATCTGGAAGTATGTCCTGTTCCTCACCCCACCTTGCTGGGCAGCTTCTGGAGTCCTGGCTCCAATGGCTCTTCCTGGGGCCAAGCTGTCCCCAGCACTCCCGCCCCTGAGCACCTCCCAGGAAGCTGCCTGTTCTGCAGCCTGGCAGGGGGCCGTGGCACAGGCCTTGAGGGCACAGCCAGGGCGGGTCCCCAGCTGGCTCTGTGCCTGCTGCTTGCCCAGAGCTGTCCTCAGGCCCTTCTGAGCCCCAGCCTCAGCCAGCTGGTGCTGGATCCTCTGGAAACCGAGATGCCCAGCGGGCTCCACTAATCCCTCAGGCAGGAATGAGGCCTGACAGGTGCGGATGGCCTGGAGCCAAGAACTGGAAGGTACCACAGGACCCTACACTCACCCCGTACCCTGGGGGTTACCTCGAGGCCCACCCCATACACTATGTGTTACTTCAAGGCCAGGCCCAGAAGCCCCACCTGGGCCCCAGCCCATGAGTCTTCTAGCCCCTGGCCAAGGGTCTGGGAGGGGGCTTGGGAAGAGTGAGATGGGGGAGGGGGCGGAGAGGGGTCCAGGTGTGGGCTCAGACCCCCACTCTGCCCTGGCCCTCTGGCTGCCTAGCTCGGTGACCTTCACGAGGTGCTTCCCCAAGACACTGCCTTAGTTTCCTCATCTGAAAAATGGAAATCATCCTGGTGCCTTCCTCCCTGGGCTCGAGCTGCTGTCCCTGCCCTGCATTCCTCTTCTCTCTGTCACTTCCTGCTCAGATACACAGCAGTTCCCAGGGTGCTTGGGAGACAAACTCAGGGTCCTCCTTGATTAGCTGGGCAGTCTCATCCCCATTAGCAACATCGTTCCTATCCCTTTCCCAAACCCTACTGCTGGGCCACACAGATATTCACCCACCTCCTAGTCTGCTCTTTCGGGGTGGCCTGCAGTGGCCCTGCTTCTCCCCTCTTCACTGGCCCACTCCTTCCCAGGAGGCAGTCACAGATCTCCACCTAGAGCTGGCAGAGGCTGTGGTCTCCCCGGCTTAGAGCAAGCCCTCTTCTGTCACCTCCTTTCTTCTAAGCACCATATTTCTGTTAATATAGCCCGTGATTGCTTGGACTTTTTGCAGTCACGCAATTAACTGGCTCTCAATGAACCAGTGACTCTTGTCCTTTTTGTGCAGGCTGCTATTCTGAATGAGTGCAGTTATTTACTTGGATAAAATTAAACTGTTGTGTTTTTTGTTTTTTTTTTTACCCCTGGAGGTAAAGAATCCTATGACTGAGGGTAAGTAGCCCTGGAAGGTGGAAATGACTTTTGGAGATGAGCTTATGGGTCTTTTCTAAAACCAACTGTCTGTGCCCATGGGGGCACCAAGAGGAAGAAAGGTTGTGGTTGGCTGGTAGCCGGAGGGGAGCCAGGAGCACCTGGGCCTGGGGCTGCTGTGTGGGGAGTCTGGAGGCGGGGCTGACCCAGCTGACCTTGGGCCCTTCCTTCCATTTCCCAGTAGGGGCCTCTGAGCTTAGTGTTCTTTTGTCTCTTTTGCCTCTTTTGTTCTTTTGTCTCCCGTGTGCAGTGAGGCTTCTGCCCAGCACTGTCACCTGGCAGCCTCCCCAGCCCTGAAGGGTAGGTCCTAATCTAATAACCCCCACTTGAGGGATGAGGAAATTGAGGTTCAGCAAGTTCCAGCCAAAGGCTGCCCTGCCGGTTAGTGGTAAAACCAAGATAGACGGGACGTTTGGCCACTCCGAGGCCATACTCTTCACCAGAGAACCCGGAGGTGCGCCTCCCCCGACTGCACACCACGAGAGGCTGGTGCAGCCTTCTGCCCTGGCCCCCAGCAGGCGCGCAGACCCGCAGGCCAACCCTTCCGCCCTTGACTTGGGACCTATCCTCTTACTTGGAGAGTGGGGACACAGCTGGACAAGAGAGCCTGTCCCCCAGCCCCCAGAGGCACCCCCCACCCCCACCACGGGGCTTTTGAGCGCGTTGCCTAGGGCTCCGCCCCGGGAGGTTGTCTGAAGAGCGGCTCAGTGGCGGGTTTCCCCATCGCTCCATTGCTCTTTCGCGGGCGAGGAGTTGTGGCCGCACAGCTGGCCCTGCCTCTGGCCGAGACCCTGGAGGGAAGCCCCGCGCCGGGGCGGATCGTCGCAGCCCCCACCTCCTCCGGGCAGCGGCTGCGAAGGGGCGGCGGTGCGGGGGCCGCCAGGGGAGGACCTGGGGGGCTCCTCGCGGGCGGGACTTACTCGGGTAGCGGTAGTAGAACTCGTTGTCCAGGTCGCTGGAGACGTTCCGGGAGCGCTTCTCCGCGACCCAGTGGGCGTCGGCGTCCGGGTCGTAGCGCACGAACACGCCGAAGAGCACCACCAGGGCCACCTGCAGCAGCAGGCAGGCGAGCGGCAGCCGCCAGCGCAGGTCGGTGTTCCAGGCCATGCGGGCGCGGGTGGCGGGGCTGCGGGGCTGGCGGGGCTGCGGGGCTGGCGGGGCCGCGCGCCTTATAAATAAGCCCGGCCAGGGGCGGGGCGCGCGGCGGGGCGAGACGGCTGACCCGGCCCCGGCGCCCCGCCTAGCTCTCCCGGGACCCGCGCCCGCCGGCGTCCACCCGGGGTCCCTCAGCTCCCCGGGGCCGTCAGGGCGGACATGGCGGGCCCTGGGAGCGCGGTGGGCGCGGGCCAGGCGCCCTCTCCAGACGGGTTGCCCTGCCTCTCCCTGTTGTTCCCATGAACAAAAAGAGAAAAAGTTTCCCGTGCCTCCCCCCAGATGCAAACGAAGGGGTTATTGGTCATAAACCGTCATCAAAGGCATCCCCACCACCACCATCACCATCCCACCGCATCACCACCACCGTTGCCGGCACCCAGATCACCATCCCCATCTTCACCATCAGGTAGGGAGGGGGAAGGGAGGGGGGGGAGGGAGGACCTCCCCAGGTGGGCCAGGCCCAGCTCACCCCTGATTTGGGGGCACAACCCCCCATAGCATTTTGACGCTTTTGCACTTCTCTGAACCGTCCAAGGACGTTCTCAGTTTTATTTTATTTTATTTTTTTAAAATATTTATTTGTTTATGCATACAGGAGCTGGGGTACAGGCCAGAGATTGGGGGGGGGGTGAGAGGATTCACCAGAGACAGAGCGGGGAACAGAACAGGCAGACTGATGAAACACACTGCTGAGAGAGCAGCGGGTGAGACAGGAGAGGTCTGCTGCACCATGTGGGTAGCTCCCTGGCTGGCCGGGATCGAACTCATGCTGCAGAGGCTGTGGATTGCTTCACAGTGCAGTGCTTAACCCCTTGCACCACCAGGGAGGCCCTGTTCTCAGTTTCAGTGGTGGAGGGAGACCTCAGCCTTTCCCTCAGTGGTCAGCAGTTTTATTTCTGCCTCTCCTGGGGAGAAATGTCCACTGCTCTCAGATCCTCCCAAGACTGTCTCTCACCCAGGCCTGTCCTCAGAGGGTGGGGGACTGGGGGGGGGCAGGACTGCCAGGAAGCGGGAGGATGGGTGCTCGCTGCAGCTTCTGCTGTCCCCAGAGTCCCCTGCATCCATCCACAGGCTCTTCCTAGTGCTGCCCTCACGCATGTGGGCTATGTGTCTGGTCTCCTCCCAGTGTCAGCCCCCGAGGGCAAAGGCATCCAGGGGAGAGTGACCCACCAGGGAGAAGCTTGTTAATTATTTTTTGAATGAATGAACACTTTCAATATGTTCAGCTAATCAAAGCATTTACGGAGCCCTTACTGTACACACAGCTCAGCATTAGGCCCAAATGACTGCCCAAAGATACCACACACACCCCGCCTCACTATAAAAGAAGAGGCATAAGGTTCTTGCTCTGGTGGTTAAAGCAGAATCAAGGTCTTTCCTATGCAGTTGAGGGCACTGGAGCCAGCAGGATCGGCTTCCTGGAAGAGGGGGCCTGATCTGGATTTGCAGAGAGGAAAAGAGGTGGGCCTCATCCCCTCTGCTCACATACTTTTCTTGTCTTATCCACCCCCAAGCCCCCACTAGATGATTCCAGTCCACCTCCCCCACCCAGGACTTCCAATGCCCACCCACAGGCTGGATTCTGGGCTTGTCCCTTTAGACCAGGGTGCAAGAAACCAGCTGCTCAGGTCTTTCGAGCATAGGGGGTTTACCAAGGAGCTGGCCACTTCCTCTTAACATGTGGGAGCCTTAAGGTGTGGCAGGACTGGTGGCCAGGCAGGATGGTTCTGTCCCCAGCCCAGAGGCAGGCCAGAGGGGAGCCATGATTTAGGAGCAAAGATGATTAGACAGTCGGGTCCTGGCTCCAGGCAGGTGTTTTGAGGGAGCAGCGCTGGGCCGGTAGGAGCTATGGCCCTGCCCTTTTCCCAGCCCTCCTGGTGGGTCTCTGTCAGTTCCCTGGCTTCTTGGACTTCACCCCACCAGCAGCCCAAACTGCAGGGCTGGGGCCGGGTTAGGGGCCCCCTGTGCTGCTGTCCCTCCAAGCCACCCCCCCATTCGCATATCCCAGGGGGGTCTCAGTGGGTGGCCTGTGGGGTGAGGTTGGGGGGAAACGCAGTCTTGTCTCCTCTGTGACAACCTGCCTAAGCAAAACTAAGACCCCCACAGTGGGCAAGTGGGCATCTGTGCTCCCTGGTGATGGGCACCCTCTGTGCTATTCCTGCCTGGAACACGGCCGTGGGTTTAATCCTGTGGAAGCAGCAGGCCAACCCGAGTCAAGGCTGGTCTATAAAACTTGCCTGGATTCTAAAAAAAAAATAGGCAGGTGTGCCAGACACCAAGCAGGGAGGCAAGGGGCGGGAGCCACATGGCAGGCACCCGCGGTGCTTCACTGGCCCTTGGGAGGGTGTTGGGGGTATGCCTGTGTGTGTGTGTCTGTGTGGGGTGTGTGCGTGTGCGCATCTGTGTGTGGGTATGTGTGTGCGTCTATGTGTGTGTGCATCTGTGTGGGGTGTGTGTGCATCTGTGTGTGCATCTGTGTGTGTGCATCTGTGTGTGTGCATCTGTGTGTGTGTGAACATGCAGAGGAACAAGCAATGGTGGTGACATCGGGTGAAGGACGTAGCACATTTCTCATACTATTCTTGCCACTTTTCTGGAGGTTTCAAAATTTGTAAACAAAAATTTTGGGGAAAGCCTTGGTGAGGTTGTAATTGGGAGTCCCCAGTATCTGCCTGGAAGCTCTGTCTCCCCAAGACTGGGGGCAGAGGCCACAGGCTGTCGGTCCCAGAAGAGCTCCATGCAGTCTTGGCCCCGTTATGTGCCAGCCCCATGGGCGCCTTGGCAGTGCCAGGGTCCTTGGCAGGGAGACTCCATGAGGGAGTCGGCGAGTCACCATGGTAGCCAGTGCCCCTGGCTCACGGGGTCCAACCTCTCCTCTTCACTCAACGCAGTGTGGTCGGTGTGAGGACAGGCCTGTGCTGTCCCGCCTCCGTGGAGCAGGTGACCTCTGCCTGTGCGAGCCTCAGAGGAGGGATGGAAGCCATCCTTGCAGGATGAGGGGAAGTGTGTGATGAGGCAGAGTGGGGGAGGGAGTGCCAGGGCGCGAGATCAGCAGGTGCACAGGCCCACAGTCATCCACAGGCTATGGGAGAAAATGCTAGAATGTGTGTTTACACTGATTTTTAGTCTTGTGTTTTTGTCTTTTCTATTTTGTGGGCATTTAATAATGCACAGGACATATTAACAGAGATATATGGGTCTGGTTCATTTTTTAATGTGCATCTATTTTGGGGTGTAGACCTCCACCTTTGTTATGGATACATTATTAAAAATGTGGCCAAGGCTGATGTGGGACACGTCATGTATTAAGGGTGGTCTGGAGGAAGGTATAGTCTTGGAGTAGACATGGTGGGGGGAGAGGCTTGGGTTTTGGGGTGGCGCGGGGCTGAGGGTGTATGTGTGTGGAGGAACAGGCAAGGGTGGAGGAGGGAACAAGTGGTTCTCAGCTGGCTGTACTTTGAATCAGCTTTTACGAGTCCTCCCTCCCAGCTCCTTGACTTAAATGGCCTGGAGTGGTGCCCGCACCATCTTCCTTGACACGGCCGAGTGATTCCGGTTGCAGCCGGTGTTGGCAACCACCCACCAGATCAATGGTCTTCAAATTCACATGCTATGGATCAAATAAAAGAATTGCAGGAAACTGTGTACTCTCTGATTTTTAAGCTGACATCTAATTTTTTTTAATGATCATTTTATCAGCTGCAACCTACAATTTCCTGCATGTCGCCTGTCTTTTCTCTAGAACCCCCGAGTTGCACATTTGGTTTATTTAATTTATGGAAAATGTCTGCCAACTAAGCTAATGGACAAAGCCCAAACTCACTGAAGGCCCATCGGCTCAACTAGGCTTACTCTCTGGCCAAAGAAAATCTGAACGCATTTTTCAGTTCACATAAACATGTAAGTATGTGGCTTTGTGACAACACTTGGTTTCTGTTTCTAATTCCTTTTTTTTCTTTAAAAGATTTACTTATTCTGCATACATGAACTGGGGCACAGGTCAGAGGTGTGGAGGGTGAGAGGATTCACCAGAGACAGAGTGTGGAGAGTAACAGTCAGATCTACTGAAATCCACTGCTGAGGGGAGCAGCTGGGAGACAGGAGAGGTTTGCTGCACCATGTGGGTAGCTCCCTGGCCAGCCAGGGATTGAACTTGTGCCACAGAGGCTCCGGATAGCTTCACAGTGCTGTGTTTAACCCCTTGCACCACCAGGGAGGCCCGTATTCTAATTGTAAGCTAACTAACCGTGCACAGCCCTGCCACCAGGAACAGCCCCTCGCATGGAAGGAAATGCTGCCTCTTCACCCCGTATGGCCAGTGCTCTCTGGCTTTGTTTGTGGGGGGCCGCCCTCAGAGCCTGCACCCTAATGCTCCTTTGTTTAGGTTCCAGTGCCTTGTGCATGTGTAATGGGGGGGCCTGATCGGAGTGGGGCTGAGTAAAAGGCGAGACACACTGGGAAAGGTAAGTGAAGTGGGAAAGGAAAGCTGGCTTGATGCCTGATGCTTGACCACAGTGGCAAATGGATTTGTTTTAGAGGAAGAGGACCTGGTCATTGACACGGTTACTCCAGCTGGGGGGAGCCTGGGATATGTCTCTGATGCAGGTGCCCACGTGGTTCCAGGCAGGCAGAGCTTCTTTTCCAAGTGTTTTCTTAAGGGAGAAAGTGAGTTCTGACCCCTTCCTCACACCATGCAGCACCTTCAGGATGGGTCACAGACCTGAATAAGCCTCCTGGGAGAAGACGTGGGAGGGATCTTCACAGCCAAGGCTAATGGTCTTGTAGGCAGAACTTACATGTTTTAAATCAGCAAATAAAACTTTATTCAAAAAAACCCGTGCTCATCAAAAGATGCCATTAAGAGGGAAAAGGGCAAGAGAAGATTTTCACAACCATGTACCCACCCAAGGATGCACACTCCGAATCCATCAAGACCTCTGGTTCCTGGACAC